CCTTGCCTAAGTTAGATTGGACAAGTAGAATACAAAGCAATTTTGCTTTTTCTAATTATTTTTGTTCTGGTATATCCCTCAGGTCAGATTTGGTACACAATTTTAATTTCCTGAGTAAGTTAAAGAGAGAAGCAACAAAAAGAACATATTGGGTTGATCCCAAGATCATCATAATTAAAAATAAATTTGTGTGTTACAGAAAGAAAACTAAAATAAAATGTTGTACTATTTCCCTAAGCCTTTAAAATGAAAATTTTTCTCTTTTATAGAATCTATATATATTTTCTCTTTTTTTACTCTTTATGTGTACATCAATATCCATGATATCTATCTACCCTACCTACCTAAATGTGTAAATAGGTACATAAATGGAAGGAAGAAAGAAAAGATACAAAGAAAAAAAAGAAAAAGAACTAAACATGAAGCAAGAACTGTAAGTTACCCAGGTCTAAAGCTAGACTCATAGAAATATGAAAACAATCAACTTTTTTTTTTCTTTCACACAACAGAAAATCAAGCCTTATGGAGGTTAAATGCCATACTCATAACTATATTACTCAGCACTAACAGTAGTTTATTAGGGATAGACTTCTTAATGTTTTGATGTAAATCTCACTAATTTATGACATTCCATCAGTCTTCTCTGAAATTGTTCCCAAAATTATGTGGATGAATCTTGATATTCTTGATTATAGTTTCACCTACTAAAAAAATTTTCTTTCTGCATTTCTGGATATTAGACATTTGGCGTACATGGCAGCTACAATTTAATATACTTTGATCTATTATATATCTTTTTACAAATGTATTAACTACACAGTCACTACTATCTCTTCATTAGTGTTCTAGAATATCTATCAAACATCACACAAATTGTTCTTGCATCTGTAGGATCACAGTTTTAGAAGAGAGCCTGAAGGTCAGTTAGTCCAACTTCCCAGTACAAGTTGTCCCTACAACAACTAAGTCTTGGAGTACGGTACTTATGACTTTCCAAGTGGTCTTTCTGACCTCACCTCGTGCCCCTCTTTACTGCCTGTCTTCTTCTCTCTAAACTCTTCTGCAAGCTCACTGAATCCACCAAGCTCTTTCCCAGGTCAGGAATTTGACAGATGCTTTGGCTCTGTCTGGACTCTTCTCTCCCAACTGTCCATTTGACTAGAACCCAGACCTCCTTCATGTCTCAACTAAAACACTATTTCCTTAGACAGGTCCTCTTGACTGCCCTTACCATTATTATTTACCATTTAAAGAATTTGCTTGCGGTCACATTAACTTTTCATCTTTTGTTTAAATTTCATTTTAGTGTTGTCTTATCCTCCCTGTTTTTAAACACTTTCTTTTCATTAGAAAGAAGAGAAAAGCAATATACACTGAGTAACAATGTTTTCTCTTACATCCAATGATTTACTTATTCACTGTTTGGCTCTAAACAACTAGAAGAATGTTTTGCTCTCCTTAGCATTTTTTTTTCCCCAAGTTTCAGCCCACACTTGGTTTTACTCTTGCTCATACTATACTTACAGCTCATTTAACACCTTTGTAAGTATTTCTAATTATGTATTCCTTTGTTCATTCATTCTATAAGCCATTTTAAAAAACTGATTTGATTAAAGTCTCTATATAGTATCATGAATTATCTCTATTGGGATAATGTGAAATGCTAATTCCAAATTTTTTCAAAGACAGTTTATCTGAACTCCTTATTTTAAAGAACTCCATCTCCTATCAAAGCTGGCAATGATTCCAAATTGCCACCTGCAATCATCACTTCCTGGTCCTCATGTCACTCATAATCCTAGCAATATCCGACACAATTGTCCTTTCCTTTTTTTTTTTTTGAAACACTTCCTGGCTTGGGTTCCATGACAACACTTTCTTCTGGTTTACCTCCCACTATGCTGGCTTTTTACTAGCTCCTTCTATGCAAAATGTTTCAATGTTAGAAAAACCAGGACTTGGCCCTTAGAGCTCTACCTCTCTCTCTCTCTCTCTCTCTCTCTCCTACATACTACATTACTCTTTGTGTGCACATCAATGTCTATGATATCTATCTACCCTACCTACCTAAATGTGTAAATAGGTACATAAATGTACACTCTACATGGCTCTCACTTCATACTACAATTTGGACTTTATATAATATATATATATATATATATATATATATATATATATATATATATATGTATGTGTGTGTGTATGTATGTGTATGTATATATATACATATATACACACACACATACATACTTTTTTTTTTGGTGATGTCCTCAGGCCCACGGCTCTAAAAAGCCTCCATGGGCACTTGATTCCCAAGTCTCTCTATCGGCCTATGACTTCTCCCAAGTACTCCAGAGTCTTATATCCAAAAGCCTAGTCTGACATTTCCACTTGGATACCTAAAATACCTCAAAAGGCTGGAAATGAATTCATTTTCCTTTCAAACCTGTTTTTCTGCTAGCCTTATTCATCTTAGGAAATGACTTTACCACTTACCCAGTATCTTCGGTAAAAAACTTGGTGATCCCTTTGGCTCTTCCTCTCCTTCGTCCCCACCCCTTATCCAGTTAATCAGCACGTTGTGTTAGCTCTGCCTTCAGACATTTCCTGAATCGATCCACTTCTCTCTAGGAACACGGCTTCTACATGCTTTATGCCACTGTCATCTCTGGATACTGGAATAGCCTCCTAACTGGTCTCTTGCCTACTCTGGTTGTCCTCTGATACCTTCTCTTCAGGGAGACCATGGTGATCTTTTAAAAAGATGGCCTTCCCTGAGGCTTTCCCTGACCACTGAGTCACACAGAGCCTCCCTCCCCATCCCAGGTCACTCTCATGATTATCCTTTCAATACTTTTGTAGCACTGACACTTGCATAATTGCTCATTTATTTATTGACTTAGGTGTCTCACTGAAGACACTTTTTAGCTGTGTGTTAAACAGAGTTTTATTCTCATTATTTGCACTCTAGACAAGTATTCTTCATGAATAATGACTGCAAAGGGCATGAAACAAAGTAAGTAATACTCTAAACTCCATTTATGGGGTTTACAATACTGTTTGCTTGCTCTTAGTGATATTCCTACTTCCTACAACTATATCATGAATATAAAGCCCCATATTCACCTAATAAGGAGTAAAAATCATTCCCCTTTAGCTGCCATCTTTAGAAAGTGACATATTTGTCATGGAAGACAACTTGTTTATCCTGTCTGTTGGTACTGTAATTGTTTTCCTGTATCTCAACATTACAATTACTTGCTCAAGAGCTGAACTCTTGGTTAACCTGCCTTGATGAATCAATTCAAGAAGCTGGATTAACTCTGAGCTGAGTTGTATGTGAATAGTTGTCTACATTTCATGCTCTGTTGATCTGAAAATCAAAAAACAAATAACCTGAGATTTCTCAGAGTGAGGGTGGGAAAAGAGCAGGTTTCTGTTCTGAACCACCTGGGGCGTTGGATGACGTCCACTTTTCCAGAGGGGTAGTTAAATACACGGAAAGCAATTCAGACACCAGCAGATAACCAGTGTGAGCTGGTGTGCCAAGGAGCTGAGATGATCATTCTGTGGTTACCTTCCCTATCAGGCCAAGTGCTCCTGTCCCAGAAATGTTCTGTGAGAGAGCTGAGGTTTGCTCACATATGACAGATTCCCTTTATTTCTTCTTGCCAACTAAGAGAACAGGCTCATCCGGTTTCCTCGGCAATGTTTTATTTTCCTTTTGAAAGCAGTGATGGTAACATTTTATTGGAAGCCATAGTTATTTCTTAAGCAGAAAAGCCTCATTACTATCAAATTATCTCAAGAATACCTATTTTTTGGTCATACATAAGAACCCCTCTTGCCTTCAAGACGGACTGATGCCATGTGGGTAGAGGATTATGGTAGGAAGCTATGAAAACTATTTAGGGGAGATGGCTCTCACTTCATACTACAATTTGGACTTTATAATAACTTGAAAATTCAATAAACTTAAATACCTGAAGCTATAATGGTGAAGTCTATCTTTTCTGTTAACTTTTCAAATTTAGAACTTAACAAGCATGTATAATATATATATTTTATAATATTACTGAATATGTGTGAATGTAACTAAATATTAAAAACAGCATATGTTTTTCTTTGAAACAACTAAATCAAAATTCATAGCTGTTATTATCTTAATAACAATTTTGTTGCTAATAACCCTGAAACTACGTTATTAATTTGGGCTTAATTTAACTATTTAAACAACTGGACTCTTATACCCTTATTTGAGATCTTGAAATTAAAAGCCAGTAAACATGTTACAGGTGTGTGACTTTAACCACATACACACTCTTCCTAGGAAGGCAGCCTCTAGCTTTAGCTAGCTAGTTACCTTTCACCTGCTTCAATAGTTTTCAAGGAATGTTTGTATTGAGTGGGAAAGTCTTGGAAGCTAATCTGTTGTCACCACTTGAACGAACACACTTGCTTACACCCTAGTCGATGCAACACTTGGAATTTGGGGAAAAAACTGAGCAAAACATTGGAAGACAAAAATTACTTTTGATTTCTCTGCAGCTATTTCACCTGAGGAAGTGCAAAGAAATGTGCTATCACTTGCCTGGCTTGCCTCACTCAATTACTTCTCCTTAAATGCAACTCTAATCATGGCATCGTGGTCATCATCGACATTATCATTGAGTAGCTGTTTGATATACCAATGAAGGAGATCGCCATTGCAGTGCCGAGTTCTCTATCCTAACCAGCTGTTTGAAATGCAAACACCAAAACAAAGACAACAGCTAGTTTTCGGGTGCCACCCGCGCGCGCGCGCACACATCACGACTCCCAGCTCGGGTCTCCGTGGAGGCTGCTGCTCTGAGCGCTCACACACACAACCAGATCCCCGGCCTCTGGCTGGCCTGCCGCTGCACATCCACGTCTCACTTCCTTTTGCAAGGCCAGCCTGAGAATACCCCGAGTGGGTGGGGACCCATTCCAGCAACAACACCCCGGCTGCCCCAACTCACCAGCCCGCGAAGTTTCCTGTGCGCGAAGGGTGGGTGTCAGGTTTCAGAGGCGACTTCCCCTTCCCGGAGCCCTGCTCCTGGGCTTCCACGCCAGCGGCGCAAGGGCGCTGCTCTACAGGGCGACCATCCCGGGGACAGCTCCTTCTCTTTCCCACCTGTGGCTGGCCGGCGAGTGGCAGGACTGGCGCACCGGCCCGGGTCGGGCGGCCAGGATCTGGGAGGCTTGTGTGTGCAGAAGGCGTGTCTCCCGCTCCGACGCGGATGTGCCGAGCTCACCTCGGGCCAATCTTGGTGGTGACTCAGGCGCGCTGGGCTTCTGGTTAAATGCTCCTCTCTGGAGATTCATGCCTTAGCAGCGCTCATTTTCATGCCTTTATTTTCCCGTTTTCTTTGATATGTTTTATTGCAAGAGCCCAGAGCACTGTGAGAACTGTTTCCAACGCATTGCATTCTCTCCCCGCAGGGATGTCTCATTAACTAGACCGAGCGAGGAACTGCGAGGAACAGAGAAAGGCCTCTGGGAAAGGAAGGGCAGCTGAAATGCGTGTTTTAAAAGTGAGGCTCTGCAGAGATGCATACATTAATCAGTGTGCACCACACTCATCTTTACTTCCCATCCCTTCAGAGATCAGTAGCTTAGTAGATAAGAGGTCCTGTCTGTGAGATCAAACAAAATCAGGCGGACACACATTCACTGAACAAATACTAAGTACCTACTGTGTGGCACACCCTGTGCTAGACACTTGGGACTGTCCACAGCAGAGATCTTGGCTGGCTCTCGAGGTCACGTTTCAGACAGACTGACATCCGTACTTTACAGACTAGAGGTAAAGGCAGGAATCCAAGGCTGTATGCATCTGAAAGCAGCTGGTTTCTTCTGTGAAGAAACTTTAAAAGTTCCAAACCCCTGGCCGGTTTGGCTCAGCGGTTAGAGCGTCGGCCTGCGGTCCAGAGAGTCCCGGGTTTGGTTCCCGCTAAGGGCATGCACCTCGGTTGCAGTTTGTCCCCGGCCCTGGTTGGGTCGTGCGGGTGGCAGCCACTCGATGTGTCCCATTCACGTCGATGTTTCTCTCTCTCCCGCTCCCTTCCTCTCAAAATCAATAAAGAAAAAAATATTTAAAAAATCAAAATAAATAAATAAATAAAAGTTTCAAACCTGTTGTTTGCCCTCATGTTGGTCAACAAGGAGAAATGCTTCAGTTTCCACTGCGCCACCCAGTCCTGACAGGATGCCTTAGGGAATCCCCCTGGAAGCACCCCCTGAAGTCTGCTGTGGCAGGGGATAAAGGAAAACCCCAACCAGGATAAAACACAAGCAAATAATAGCAACATAATGGAGAAGAGAAGCATCAGTCCCACAAGAATCTGTCCATTCAGTTAGGAAATTATGGAAGCTCTACTTTCTGTGCCTCGTTCTCATCTTGAAAATGGGGATAATAAAATATCTTCTTAGGACTGTGAGTAACTGAGTTCAGCTCAGTAAAGTGCATAGAACAGTGTGTGGCACAGAAAACGCTATGTAGGTGTCGGCTAAATTTATTATTTTGATAGCATTTATCTACTTCATTCTCCCAAAGTAAGGTCCAATTCATATAAATTATTCTGATCTACCAGGAGAAAGTATAGGAGGTTCAGGTTGTAGATTTTCAAAACATGTATGCTAGGAATCTCTATGTGCAGTAAATCTATTTTGTATCCATTGGCAATATCTAAGTATACAGCAAGTGTGTGTTTACGGCCCTGGAAAGAGATAAAAGACTAAATGTAACAACTTTGAATTTATTCCACTGTACATAGCACATTAATGTAAAGTAATTCTCTGTGCTATACAATGATAATCTGTATTCACCCAGTTCATGTGTTCACTCACGTTAACCCGAATAGCTATTTTTTCCTGTATGCAGTGGAGTTCATAAAGCCCTAGCCCATAGATCATCTCATTTGACTTTCACAACATCGCTTTGAAACAGGCAAGGCATCTATCATTTTTATTGTCCCTATTTTAAGTATGAAGCAACTGAGGTTGAGAAAGTCCCAACAAAGTGCCCAGAATCACGAAGGTCCATAAACGTAGAACTCAAGTCGGCTGATCCTGAAGGCGGGGCTCACAGTGGTCGCTATACGGTGCTGCCTCCCTCTATCCAGGAAAACTTCCTGTTGTGAGAACATCTAACAGATTTAGGGCCTACTGTCCTTGTCACCCTCCCTGAAACAAGCGTGTCAGCTGCCTTGCAGGGACAGCTCTCCTACAGTCACTGGCCATGTACGCTACTCCGTGACTTCAGAGCGCTGAGCTTTCCCTTCCTCCCTCTGAAAAGGGGTGCTGATGAGGGGAGGGTGGGGGAAGAAGACGAGAGAAAGCTTCTGGGCCCCCTCATGAAGGCTGCTTGCGCCGAGGTAGAGCAGAGTAAAAGACCCTGGGAAACCAGTGGAAACAAGGTGACAGTACCTTGTGACGTAACAAAAAAATAAATGCCTTCCTGTCCCTGGAGTTGATGCAGCACAAATTAAATAGATATAATTTCTGTCACTTGGCTTATCATTCAATAATATAGCACCAAAGTAAACAGATATAAGTGTACATGGAAGGTGTCTAGTGCGAAGGGCAAATTGATCACATGTGTTTCAGCTTCTCTAAACTCCTCTAACACAAGAATAAATGAATATTTTAAATGTCATTAAATCATAAAGACAAATGAAAGGGAGAGGAGAAATAAAAAGACAAAATAGACTGTAATAGATGGTTGGAACCTAAGTCAGTTGGAGGATTGGGCTAATCCACCGCCTGCTTGTGGATAAGAAACAAGACAATTCTTCCTGCATAACCCTGGAGGCTCAGGCCTAGGCAGCAGAAACGCCACCAGTGAAGGAGGCCAGCTGGTGGCGTGAACACAGGAGTTTGCTTAGATGTCTGTGTACAGAGTGCTTGACCCAAAGTGTCCTTCCACACGACCGTGCCATCAACCAAACATAACTTCCTCCATCTGCTCCACCCAGCCTCCAGGAGACTGGAGCTTTGTTTTCTGGAGAAAAGTAAACTAGAGTAATTTGTGGCTTAACAAGATGAACTGAACACATGCATTTTTACTCTGCTCCCACAGAAAATGATTTAAAATAAATGTATATATCAGACAAGAAGAAAAAAAAACAAAACTCTTGAAATTGAAAATATACCCCCAAATTTAAAAAACTGAGAGGTTATAAGATTAAGTTGAAAACATCTTCAAGAAAATAGGGCAAAAAGCTATAGAAATAAAAAATTGGAAAAAAGGAAATATTTTCTGACTAGTGAAAATCCCAGAGAGTTCCAAACAAGAGTTGTTTTCTTCTTTTTTATCCAGAGATGGAGGACAAAATTAATTAAATAAATGATTCAAAATTATCTTTGAATCTTTGGAATCAAAAGTTCCATTGAAAGTCCAAGAGAATAAAAACTGTAATTAATTAAACACACCATGGCACATCATTCTGAACTATTAGAAGCCCAGATATAAAGAGAACAACCATCTTCCAGAAACATAGAGCAGATCACATGCAAAGTCAAAGAATAAAAATTGCATTTGATTTCTCAAGAGCAGTAATGGATTGAGAAGATTCTTTAAATGCCTTCCCATTTTAAAAAGAAAATTATTTTGAACTTAGAATTATATACCCAGACAAAATGTTAGCTAAGTGTGATTAAAGATATGTTCAAGTGTGCAAGGATTCGAACATATACTTCCCATACCATTTTTAAAAAAGGGTCCCCCCAAAAAGCTTATAAATCAAGAAAGAGGACAAGATGGAGCCCAGGAAATGCAGACCCAGCAGAGGAAACAGTAAAGTAAATTTTTCAGAGCAACATTTGTGAAGCAGGCCTAGAGAGAAGCAGAAGGATGGATTGCAGTAGGGAAATCTCCAAGAAAAAAAAGAGAGAGAAAGTAGTTATGTGAGGTACATGTCCATTTGAATGATTATTGATAAGTGTGTGTGCAGTGGAGACTGGCATTGCTCATTCGATTCCATGCTCTCTTTTCCCTAAGTACCTAGATTTTATTCCGTAGCCCTTTGCAGACAGGAAGGCATGTAACTGACTTCTAGCCAATGGCATGGGGGTCGCAGCGCCACACATCACTTCCAGGCCATTCCTATCAAATGACCTACGAGACCCTCCATGCTTTTCCTCTTTTCTGATCAGTATCCAGACACAAAGCCTCAGTGAGGAGCTCTGAGGATCTAGAAGACATTACAGCCCCAAGAGGAAAGAAATTTGTGATGCTGAATGACTTGGCTGCATATAAACCCTAGATGCCACACACTAGACTGTGACATGAGCAAGAAATAAATTTACACCATATACAGCCACTGAGAGGTTTGGGTTATTTGTTATAGCACTTATACTATTCTGACTCTTACAATTTGAAATCTTATTTGAGGGCATTGGTGAATAATTTACAGTAGTTATAAAGTATACTAAACAAGTTGGGGGGGTATTCCTAACTTCAGGAAAAACAAAAGGTTATGAGAGAAAACATAGTGATAACCTACCCCTTCGCTAAGATATAGATATAATCAGAATGATGGGAACACTGGAAATAGATTAACCATAAAATAATGATATAATAATATGTAGAGGGTGGGGATCAGGAAAGATGGTCTGTATATGTGTGTGTAAGACAACTAAACCCTCAACTATTATAACATAGAATCAATAAATAATTGAAAATTGCTAAATAACAAAATAGCAGGATAAGCAAACCACTTCAAAATATGTAAGTACAATAAAAAAATAAATAAAGCAAATGTTTTCCTGTGAGAATTGGCTTAGGAGGACATATATGCTGGTTTATTAGAAGTTTAACACCATTTAAAAAAAAAAATATATGACATGTATTACCTTAATAAAAATAAAACTAATAGTAAAGTAGTTTTTAAATATACATAGGAAAACAAAAGATATGTGTAGAATTTACTAAAGTACTTGCATATGATTTTTGCATACTGACCCATAAGCAGTGAAAAGTGAATCTGGGACGTGGACTGAAGATAGGTTTGAGAGGTTTGCACAGCCACTGATTCACCTGACGAGTATGTATTAAGTAACGTGACTATGTTGTGCAAGCACGAGGGATAACGTGGAGAACATGAAGAAAAACTATAAATGCTCTAAGAGAAAATGAGTATTTTAAAGCTTTAAAAATCAAATGG